TGTATTTTTTGGGGGGAGGGGATATGTGCCTTGGAGTGAAACTGTTGGGTCATAAGATATGCGTATATTTAACCTTATTAGTTTCAAAATGATTGTAATGCTACCAGTAGTGAGATGTGTGTTCAAATATCTATGTTTGTAAATTTTGCTATTTCTACTTGTTCTGTAAATTTTTCCTTTATATGGTTTGAAGCTATGTTATTTGCTTTTTTCTAATGAATTGAGCCTTTTATGTCTAATAATTCTTTTTTCTTTAAATTCTTTTTTATTAACGTAGCTCTGGTAGCATTCTTTTGGCTAGTGTGTACATAGAATATGTTTCCATTTTTTACTTTCCCTTTTCCTTCTGAGATTCTAGTTACATATATAGTCAGTCCTCCGTATTTGTCGGTTCTGCATCTGTAAATTAAACCTTAGATCGAAAGTACTCGAAAAAAATTGTACTGAACACGTACAGATTTTTTTTTCTTGTCATTGTTCCCTAAACAATAGATTATAACCATTTACATAGCATTTACATTGTGTTGGGTATTATAAGTAATAGATGACTTAAAATATATGGGAAGATATGCATGGGTTATATGCATATATTATGTCACATCTGTGGATTTTGGTATCGGAGGAGGTCCTGGAACTAATTCCCCACAGACATTGAGGGACAACTGTATGTTAGACATTATATAATTCCTTATCATTTCCCTCTTGCTTTTATTTCTTAGGCTATTTGCTTTTCTAGATTTTTTTCCTGATCTGTATTTCAGTTCATTAGTTCTCTTTAGCTGTGCACAGTCTACTGTTAAACCTATTCATTTCTTAATTTTAGTTACTATATTTTTTGGTTCTGAATTTTCATTTGGTTTTTCTTTTTGAGAATTTTCAGTTTTCTGCTGAAAATCTCATCGTTTTAATTCCTTGAAAATCAGCCATAGTTATTGTAAAAGCCAAGTTCTGGTAATTTCATTTTTTTAATATCCTGCTTCCCTGTGGACCAGTTTCCATTGCCTATTGATTTTTTTCATTTCTTACAATCATATTATCTTTGTTGTTTGTTTTTTGGATTGAATGGTAAGTGTTAGAGAAGATTTGAAGCATAAGATGGTATTTCGTCCCCAGAGAATATTTACATTTGCTTCTGACAGACTGCTAGGGCCACTATCAAGCCTATTTACCTTATCCAAACAAGAGTTGGCTTTAGTTCTGCAGTTTTACTGTAGTTCACCTATAGGTGTAGTTTGTAGGCCTTTTGGGCTAATAGCCAAAGCCTGGAGGATTCTCCTGTACATAGGAGGCTTGAATTGTAATTTTCGTTAGCCTAAACTAATGGATTAGTCTGTCAACTTTTTGCTTACTTCCTTAAGTTTTCAGCTTCCTCTTCTAGAATGACATTCTAGGATTTAAAAAAAAAATCTTTTTCTTCTATTGGTCCTGTAGTTGTTCAGAGCCTTTTTAGGTATGTAGTACCTTCACACTGATTTTTCTAAAAAGTATGTTTGCTAGATTTTCTTGTTCTTACGGAATGTTTTAGCCCATCCTTATTCATTATCAGTCCTGAAACTCATTAATATGAATTTTTGCCTTAAGAAAGGTAAGCACAATTTATTTTAAGATCAGCCAGTGATAATGTTGAAATTCTAAAACAGACCAGTGTTCATCAAACAGATGGCACCTGTGTGAAAATTGATTTGTGAATTAGTTCGAAGAATATTTGGTTTCATTGGATAATTTCATGTATGACTGGTATTTGAGGAATGACATCCCCTTATTAAAATTTAAGACTAATATAGTTTTTTTATTTGGCCGATTTTTGAAAGTTATATTTTGTTTTAATAAAAATACACTATTTAAAAAATTTAAACAGAATTGAAAAGTACTGACAACAACAAATCATCTAAAAATTTAAAACTTGAAAATAATATTGGTTAATATTTGAGGATTATTTCAGATATTTCTCTATTTATTTATTTTATTATCTATCTATCTATCTAATCTATCTATCTATCTAATCTATCTAATCTATCTATCTATCTATTTTTTTTAAAGATGACCGGTAAGGGGATCTTAACCCTTGACTTGGTGTTGTCAACACCA